TCTGGGTTCAGTGTAGAAAAGAAAAGCTATGGGCAATGAGCATGCTAATTCATCCGCTTGGAGCCTGTGTTTTGCAGCTGCTTGTAGGGAGGACATGAGGGGAGAAGAAGAGAGTGGGAGAGAGAAGATGGGATGGGATCGTTTGCAGCCCAGGGGTCTTGGAAGGCCTTTCCAGGCCGGGGTCGGAGGGGAGGGCTTGCCCAATGCAGTGTCCTCTCCACTGTCTGCATGCACACTGGGCACAGTCTGGAGCAGATGCCTGGCTTTTGAGTCTACCAATGGCTCAGCTGTGGGCACGGGCCAGCCCCTGTGCTCAGATGGTGTCTCAGACCCAAAGCACACTGTTGACCCGCCTCAGTTCACCTTTCCTGCTGACCTGCAGGACACAGCAGCCTCACCCCAACTGGCACTGAAATGTTCCCTCTAAAGGAAACCCAAGGGAAAGGGCTGGGGCTGAAATTTCAGATACTAAGATTGGCTACAGAAATGCAAAGACTTTACCTTTACTATTACATCTTTAAAAAATTTCTGTTCCACTCTTTTTTGGGGGACATTTATTTTGGCCATATCGCTTGCCAAGTGGGATGTTAGTTTCCTAACCAGGGACTGAACCTGTGCTCCTGGCACTGGGAGCACAGAATCTTAACCGCTGGAGCACTAGGCAAGTCCCTGTGAATATTTTATTTAAAGGCACCCTAATTGTATGCATGAGACAAGTGCTCGGGGCTGGTGCACTGGGATGACCCAGAGGGATGGGATGGGGAGGAAAGTGGGAGGGAGGTTCAGGATGGGGAACACATGTAAATCCATGGCTGATTCATGTCAATGTATGGCAAAAATTACTACAAGATTGTAAAGTAATTAGCTTCCAACTAATAAAAATAATTGGGGGAAAAATGGCAACCTGAGACATTGCCAACAAGAGAACGGGTAGCAATCTTTGGTGGCATGACTTGGACATCTGTGGGGCCCTTCTGATGCTAAAGGGAGCTTAAGCCCAGCCCTCAGCGCTGGGTTTCCCAGCCCTGCATGCATGTATGCTAAGTCACTTCAGTCATATCTGACTCTGAGACCCTGGACTGCAGCCCTTCAGGCTCCTCTGCCCATGGGATTCTCCAGGCAAGAACACTGGAGTGGGTTGCCATGGCCTCTTCCAGGGGATCTTCCCAATCCAGGGATCAAACCTGTACGTTTTTTGCATTGGCAGGTGGGGTCTTTAACACTAGCATCACCTGGGAAGCCCTTCCCAGCCCTGACCTAGGACTTAATCACACTGGAATCCTCAAAAGCAAATGCTTTTATTTCAAACACTGCAGAGTTGAGAGCCCGTGACACCAAGGTGAGAAGGCCAGAATCATGAAGGTCACATAAAAACCGCATGTTGTACCAGGGCAGGAAGGTTAAGTTTATGTCATGTGTATGTTTCTCTGCTTTCCTGAGCAGGGCTGAAGCCTCAATATATTTGAGGTAAGGTATTTTTCTCTTTCAGGAGTATCTTTGGTTTAAAACTGAGGCAATGGAATAAAACCTTTGTGGCTCTAATTGTCTGAAATGTTTGTTTGCTTTTTGGCTTAGTTTTGGGCACTGATGTCTCCCAACAAAAAAAATTAAGGACAGAATAGAAGGCAGGTTTGAAAAGTGATTACTCAATCAGGTCAAATGTTTGAGAAGTAATATGTTTCAAAAATGTGAATTTAAGCTAAGCAGGCCCTTGATGAAAGACTCAGATTGCAATCAGTTAACACTCACGTTTTCTCCCTCAGAGTCACAGCCCCAAAATGTCACTGTAGCATTGTTAGGACCAATGTTAAAAATGACTGTGATGAACACAAGATGCGGTTGGGAGCTAGAAACCCAAAATGTTTTATACTGAACACTGACTTGACCCCCAAGAGCAAAACTCCCACCTCTCTGGGATAATGTAAATTGAACTGGGTGGTAAGTTCTTTTTAAGCAAGCCAATGTGCAGAGTTGTCCCCTGGGCTGCTCTTTCAGAAGCAGCTTCTCTGTTTATTATTTTCTATGCACACATATTGTTTCCTGGTTGTGTTAGTCTTAGTTCTAACAGTTCTCTTGGGTCCCAAGGCTTATTTGTTTTTGTTTTCCTTTAGTATTTGATTTTACTTCATTTCATGCAATTTAACAGGTTATCTGTCATAACATCATTGAAGATGACTTGGACTTTTGACCAAAACATTTGTAACTAAATCATTGTGTATGATAAGCAATGCTTCATGGTTGGTTGATGACCTGCTTTAAAATGTTTCATCCTAGAGAACAAGCTTCACTTTTCTAAGGTAACTTTTCTAAGTTGATGTGAGTCTAAATACATTTGTGTTAGAGGTATCCTTCATGAGCCTTTTCCATATGCGTCCTCTGAACACACACAGTGGAAATGTTGACAGTGCTCAGGCAGTTCCTACTTGAGGACATGTCTCTGTGGATCGGTGGCCCCCTCCCCAATCTTATCCTGACTCCTGCCAACAAGAATTTGGAGGATGCGGGAGCAAGGATAGGCCAGGGCTCAAACTATGTCCTGAGACCCATGGGGACGCAAACTTCACCCAGAGAGACAACCAAACACTCTAACCGAAGTACTCCTAAACCAGAGTCATTCCCAGTTAAAAACGGTGGCAACCATTAATATTTTGTTTTCAAAACCCAGGGAAGAACACGGAGGGAAAGAAACAGAATCTCAGGAAAGTTAAGGGAGCTCAGCTCATCCAATGGACAAGCAGCAGAGCCTGTTTCAGCACAGAAATTCCAGAAGGTGTCCTGGGGCAGACCCACACCTCCTCCCCGCTTTTTCCCCCTCCTCCTTCCCCTTCTTCCTCCTCCCTCCTTCCTCTTCCCCTCCCACTTCCCCTTCCTCCTCCCTCCCAGCCCAAGTCCTCAGGCTGTCTGACCTGAACTGTAGTCCAGTGCCTGAAAGAGTTACAGCTGTTCCTGTTTAAAACATTAAGCTCTCTGAAAAAAATGTGAAATGTCCTAATATCTTGCACAGAGAATGTAGAAAAATCACATTTGTTTAAACCACTGGGTGCTACCTGCGTTATTCCAATCCTGGTGACGTAAGCAGGAACTGGGTCAATGTTTGGAATATTTAATATTTGAATACCTTTCATGTTTTATTTTTATTTTTGACGTGTTGGCACAAGGCCTCCAGCGTAGTGATGTTGGGTCAAAGCTGTGGCCCCAATGTCGACCCCGATTAGTGCCTTTTCCCCACAAACAGCCTCATGTGACTTCCCACTGAAGGACCAGGCATTTCTGCTTCTCATTAGCTCAAGGCTGTGCTGATGCTGACAAACCAACACCCGATCCTTCAATCTTTGCACCTTTGCCTGCCCAGTCCGAGGATGTTGCTGTGACTACAGGTCGCAGTGCTTCAATCAGCCCATGTGGCTGTGAGGATCCCCATTGTGTGTGGGTCCTGCAAAGGCCAATGGGATGTGCTGGGGGTCATGCTGGTTTTGTCTGCTAGGGGCAGAGGACATAAAGGTGCTGGCCTAGGGGCTGGTTATTCACATCACAGCAGGTTGGCTGAGGATCCTGTTCAAGAGCGCACCTTATCAAGGTGTCCGAAAGCCTGCCCAGTCCTCCAAGCACATTATTGGCAATTTTTAGGAGCAGCTTTTCTCTAAAGCCAGCAGAGGCGTAGGGAGTGTGAAGGGTGTGCAGGTGTGGGGGCTCCCTCCCACGGTCTATGGAGGCTGGCCCCAGGTGACCCTCTCCAGTTCACAGACCCCACATTCGGAACCCATCCGAGCAGAGCAGTTTCCAGATGTGGCCAGGTGACCAGCACATGCTCTCTAATTGAGAGATGAAACGTCAGCACTCTCATGAACCTCAGAATAGCACCGACTAGTGTCTCCCATAGAAAACTTACATAAGAAATAGCTTTTTATTTTATTACAATAGTAATAACTGCTGAGAAAATATGCATTAGAGCTAATGAAGATCTCAGGCCAAGTCAGTGCAGCACTTCTAATGTGGGGGAAATTGCTTAATGACTCAAGTTTGGTTTTTTTTTAACCAAAACATATTCTTTTGCTTATCCCGTTTTAAACTGGGATCTGTTTACCCCTTGCACGGCCACTGGCACAAGCCAAATGCAATTGTTCTATATGTCTCTTTTCTCAGCCTCTGAATTTTTCTCTTTCCTCCTTCAATTCCCCTCTTTGGGCCTCCAGGAGGTTAGCAGGTTTCTTTTCTACCCCAAAATGGACACGGGGACATCTTTGTTTCTATTTTAACATCACCTATTTCTCATAGAATCATTCGAAGAAGTTGTTTCTGCCTCTGGTTACGTGAAAATGAAATGAAACGTCATCGACTGGAGATTCATGGGGCCGCGTTGAGCAGTGAAGGGAGCTGCGAATGGATTTCCAAACCTTTTCTCAGACATGGCCTCCAACTCGCAGGAGAGTCGTAAACAGGAGGGAAGGCAACAGGGTTGGAGGAGGGGCACTGCCCCTCTGTGAACCACTGATGTTCTCCATCATAAAAAACTTCAGACATAGGTTTCCCCAGTGTTTTCTGTATTTGACAAGGCCTTCTTGATGACCACGATTCCATTTTCATGCAGTAGGTGGAGGCAGGGTGGGAGAGGGCAGCGGATGAGTGACAAACTAACCTCTGCTGGGAGCAGAGGGACCCCGGGGTGTTGGAGAGAGAGAGGGAGGGAGAGAGGTGAGGACTCGCTCTCAAAGGGCTTACAGGCCAGCACCTGTGGTCTGATCTCCAGAAAGACATTCCACACCACCGCCAGGCACACAGCATGCAATAATTCATCCCAAACCTGCTCCAGCCACTTCCTGTCCTAGCCAGAATGGACATCAGACCACCGCCGGGCAGGCTTTGCACTCTGGTTGCCCGGAGCATTTAGCGAGCCAAAGCCCCTCAGAAGACCACATCCCAGCACCAACTCTGCCTGCCCAGCGATCTCTCCTCAGCAAGGAAAAGTTGGCCGGCTCCCGGTGTTGTTACCCGCGGCTCACCCCACGGGCTGCAGGTCTGCGCAGCGCAGCAGCCGCTCCCTTTGGGCTCTGACCAAACACACTGGCCAGCAGGAGGGGGGTCAACAAGATCCACAGACCCGGGGGCTCACCCCACCGCCTGATACTGGTTCTAACTAAAGCACGGAGCCACCTACTCCCGGCCCCTAAATCGGCCAAACCCTCGGCCGGTGTCTGCCGCACCGAACCTGAACCCAGGACGCGGCCGAGAAGGCGCAGACAGGAGTCCGGCCAGGAGCCTGGCGGGCGCCAGCGCATCTGACGCCGCAGAAGGGCTGTGCGCACCCGAAGTCTGGGTGACAGGCGCCTAAGGCTCTGCGTGCACGGGGACAACCCCAGGAAACGAAGGCGACCAGAGGACCCCTTCCTCTAGTCCTTCAGAAAAGCCGAGCGACCCCACTGGCAGCCTTCCCAAAGCAGGAGTCGAAGCGTCCACTACACTGGAACCGCTGCAAACGCATCGCCATCAAAGCCCCTTTCCTAGGAAAAGTGCCCAGTTTTCCCTGTAACCCAATTCCCTCGCTCCTCACCTCCAAGAGCGCGCACGAAGAGACAGAAATCGCACCAAGGAAAATCGTGACCACAACTTGAACCCCCAAACGCATCCACTCTCTGCCCTCTCCGCGAGGTGGCTGGAGGCTCCCGGGGCTACGGGCTGTAGCGGCCGCGAGGGGCTCCCGGAGTCCCGGTCTCCGTCCCGGGCCCCAGCGCGCTCTCACCCTCGCCTTCCTTTTTCCCTCCGCATGGTGAAGCGAAGCCCGCTTCCCTTCCCGCTCCCAGATGAACCTCGGTCCCCACCTCCGCCGCGGCCCCGCTCACCAGCCCCAGTCTGTCTCCTATGAGTCACTCGAAGGGGTCTCCCGGACCCGCAGAGCCAATGCCTGCCGCGCGCCTCCTCCGCCCGGGAAGCCCTGCTCCACCACGCTCCCGGGTCTCGATCTCAGCAGCTCCCTCCGACTTTGCACAGCGGCACCTCGGCGCCGCCGGGGCGCCTGGGGTGGCGAGGCGCCAGGCTGCAGCCCGGACTGCCGGCGCCCGGCCCCTTCCTCCTCATCTTCCTCGCTTGCTCCGATTCTCCCGGGCGCCTGGCGACCCCGCGCCTCCCCGGTCCCGCCGCCCGGACCGCCCGGACTCACCCCGGCGCCGAGCCGCCGCCGGTCTGCGCGCTCCGAGGCGGAGCCAGGACTCCCTCCCGCACTGGGGCCGCCTTCCCGCCTCCCCGCCCGCTGCCCCCGCCCCACTCCCGCCGACCCCTCCGCTGCCCGCGCGGCTGGGGCTGTCGGGACTTACCTCCTGGGCAAGGTGACCCGCTAGTGCGCTCGGCGGCGGCCCGCGCGTCTCCGGAGACCGCGAGCGAGCGCGCGGGGCGCCGGGGATCCTGCGCCCGCCTCTGCTCCCCGCTCCCTCCCCCGCCGCCCGGCCCTCCCCTTCGTCCCCTCCGCGCCTCTCTGCCCTGCGCTCGCCGCCCGCACCCCCGGCTGCCCCGCGCGTCCTGGAGCGCCGGGGCGCGGGGCAGCGGCGGCCCGGGCGGCTTAAGCTAGCGGGCGGCGGCGGCGGCGGGGCGGAGCCCGGCCCTCGGTCCTCGGGAGAAGAGGGTGCGGGGAGACTCCCGCGGCGCGCGCCCGGCGGGCGGGTGGGCGAGGGGCGTCCGGGGCGCGCCGCTTGGCTCAGCTGCAGAGCCTGGAGACACGCGTGCCTGAGGCGGCAGCCACGGGCGCGGGGGGCGGCAGGGAGGAGGAGGAGGAAGGAGGGAACGGCTCCGAGTGAAGGCTCCGCCAACTTTGCCCCGGGCGGCCGGCACCGCGGGGGATCGCTTCTGGCAGGTGGCCCAGGCCAGTGTCTGGGAATGTGGGTGACGGAGGCTGGGGGGGAAGGGGGAGGCCCCTGGAAACTAGTGGGGCGGATTTGCCTCCTGGCTGGGAGGAGCGATGGCTCCCCTCGGTCCTAAAGGCCTCCCCAGGCTCTGGTTCGTTCTTTTTGAGGTTCCTAAGGACCCCTTTACAGGCCTGATCTGCCAGCCACCCCCGCGAAACCCTGCGCGGGGCTGAGACTCGGGTCCGGCCCAGCGTCTGCCTGGGCATTGGGGATTGAGGGGAAACTAGGGCGGGTGAAGAAGATGGGGGTGGGTGGGCATAATCCTGATGAGGAGAGTGGGTAGTGGGGAGGGAGCTAGGGAGGGCACCTCCCAAGATAGTCTGCATTTCCAAGGTTGGGGGAGGCGGGGGAAGTGGTGTTTTCAGCTGGGATTTCACAGAGAAAGAAGAAAGAAATACCAGAAAGAGTGATTTAGGGAAAGAATCCGTGAACCCACTTCTGCCCCAGGCACAGAGGTGCTAGGCGGGCAGGCACTGGCCTCGCGCTGGTGGTCATGGTCTGTTTCGTCCAGGAGACCCGCCACGGTGCACTGTCTGTCCCTGCCTGGTCACCAACCCTTCGCCCCCAAGAAGGCATCTCTTCCTCTGCCAGGAGCCTAGGGTGGAGTTTCTGGAGGGCTGGGATGGGAGGTTGGGCCAGAACATAGGTCTCTCCCCCGTGTTCCGTTTGACGGACTGGCTCCTGTTGGGTCCCTGGCAGCCCAGAGGGAAGGCTCCTAGTGGGTACGGGGGTGGGGGCATGGGTCAGCAGGCCCGGTTCCATCTGTGCTCTGTCTTTATCCACCCGAAAGCCACCCCTTCTCCATCTTTGCCGGGTGGCAAAGTGCAGCCAGGTTTCTTCCTCCAGGTCCCTGCAAGGGGTGTGGTCTGGAACTCTCTGGAAAAGGCACTGTCCACTCCTCCCGGCTAGAAGAACTGCTCGAATGGGAGGAAGATGCCATCTTACCCTAATGAACTTGCCACTGACCCTGGGTCTTTTCCTGACTAGAACATTCTGTCATCTGAACCGCTGGGCTGAGCAAATACTGTTAGACTCAGTGGAGGTGGACAAGCATGACTCCTGTTTATCACCTGGGAGTTTTGCAGCCACCGAAGTACAGCTCACCCGGGTTCTCACCTCTCATTGCACTTTACTTGTCCAGGCTTTGCCTTGTCTTTGGGGGCCTGTTTTGTTTTCTGCTCCAGAGAACACCAGCGTGGGGGGCGCAGCTGCACCTGCCCGTGCCTTTAGGGCACGGCATACCTTTTCTACTGGACTTTTCTGGATAGAGCAGGCAGGCACCTCACGAGTGTGGTGTAACACGTGACCTCTGGCTGTGCTGACTGCCTGCGTGGTGCTCCCTCCAGAAGTGAGGGGTGCAGAGAGCAAGGAAGGGAGTCTCTTCTCAGTGGCCTCCCGTGTGGAGTCCTGTGGTCCGCCTGTGTGTCATGTCCTTGTTACTTTGGAACATTCCAGGCTGGTGCTTTGGAACTCAGTCCTGAAGCTCTTCCAGGTGACGTGTGGAGAGTGGGTACGTGGGGTCAGTGTGGTGCATTTCCTAGCATTTTCCAAGGCTTCGTTTTCATAACACACCTTACTCAGTTTAGCATTTAAACAGTCTGATGGTCTTCTATTATGGGGTGAATACGGTGGGCCCCTTAGGTCCCTATGTTTTATTCTCATAAGGCTCTTGGTCCCAGCGCATCCCAGGTCCTGAACAAATAGTTATTGATTGCACTAGATGGGGGTGGTGTAGGTAAAATTAGATGTCTCTGAGGAAAGAGGGTAATTTGAAGGAAAAGGGGAAAGTTCATGATGTGGTGAGTTATTATTGTTGTTCACTTCTCCCACGCCACTCACATAGCTTCAAGGATTCCAGAAGTATATTCTTTTCTAGACCCCACCCCTACACACGCACAGACATCTTTTACTGTCTGCATTTCCATTGGGTGTCAGCATTCACTGCATGAAAAACCTGCCAGGGCCAGGAATCTCAGATGGTGAGACGGGTATCTCCTGCTCCGGGCAGGTGTGGCCACTTGGGGAAGGCACCATGGGCCAGATGTGCACCTGGCTGGTCTGGAATCGTAGGCAGCTGCACCTACAGGGTAGCTTCTCTTGAGCCTGGATCCTGAGGTGTTGCTCAGAATGTCGTCATCTCTGTTAGTGCTGTGATGAGTGTTGAGAGGAAGACACAAGGACTGTCACGTACAGAGCAGCGGGACACAGCAGAAGTCACCAGATCTCCTGGGTGTCAAATAACCTTCTCAACAAGACTTATCTCTTAGGAGAGATTACAGAACTTGCAGAGCTAAGAGAGGTCGGGGGGCCAGTTCCTGTGCTGTGAGCTGTCGCTCAGGCGCCAGCCGGCAGTCAGACTCTGCACGACTTTCAGGGGAAGCTGTTGGTGCCCAGAGGCAGGCGGGAGGATGAAAGGATGCACGGACTGGAGGTCTACTGTTAGGAGATACTCCTCAGCACGTCTTGAACTGAAAGCATCCAGACCCCGGGCAGAGCTTCCAAAGTGCCCTGCATGGTGCCTGCAACTCAGCAGGTTCCTTTTAAACCACCTTTAGATCAAACGTGTGACGTGCTCAGCCTTGTTATGTGCTGATTGTAATACTAAGGATAGAGCAATAGAGCAGGTATACCCAATTTTAAGGCAGTGTCATTCATCTTGTTCCAGCCCTCCAATCTGTTATTACATAAATTGGCTTGATAGATGACATCCAGGAAAATGTCTTGTCCCAGGAGAATCTTGTGGACTCAGAAGGACAGAAAGATGACCAGTCAGGTGTTCAGTTGCTAAGTCATGTCTGATTCTTTGCAACTCCTTGGATTGCAGCACACTAGGCTCCCCTGTTCTCCACTATCTCCCAGAGTTTACTCAGATTCGTGTCCATTGAGTCGGTGCTGCTATCTAACCATCTCATCCTCTGCCGTCCTCTTCTTTTGCCTTCAATCTTTTCCTAGTACCAGTGTGTTTTCCAGTGGGTTGGCTTTTCATATCAGGTGCCCAAAGTATTGTAGGAATACTGCAATACTACAATACTACAATAATTCCTAGGCAAGGCTCTAGGAAAAAGGTGAATTTGGTATCAAAAGTAAAGGGAGAGAGATTCTGAACCTAGACAAAATTTTGAGGCAACGTCAAAGTGGGAATTTAAAACAGGAAAAGATGCACCAGAACTCCAGAATATGGGAGTCAATGGAGTTCCTGGTGTTCACCTGGTATGGCCCTCTGGTCCTCAGACAGCCTGAGTGGGGTGTGAAACCCAGGTCCAACTTTCAGATCTGTGGTCTGGCCTCTGGATCCCTTGCATCACTTTTAAAAATTGGGCTTAGCTTTATTGTACTTCACAGATTTTTTAAAATTACAAATTGAAGGTTTGAGGGAACTCTGCATTGATCCAGTCTATCCATGCCATTTCCTTGTATCATTTGGAAATGAATCAAGGTGGGCAGGAAGCTAACACATTGTGAGCCACCTCTGTGGTCCAGTGGATCAGTTACCCACTGCTGCAAACAAACCAGCCCAAACCTTGTGGTTGAAAATGACAACCCTCCATTTGCTCACATATCTGAGGGTGGCAGTGCCAGCTGAACTGCTGGGCACCTCTGACTCCCATGGTGTCACCTGGTCTCCCACAGACATCTGTGATCTGCTGCCCACCAGGCCTTCCTGATGTGTCTGGGGGTGGTGACTGCAGACTGGGGTGATGGGTCCAGGCTGGCGGTGCCCAGCACCTTGGGCCCAGTGCACACGGCCTTCCAAGCTCACATCGTATAGCGAGGTCTCCCTGACCAAAGTCATCACATGGCCCAAGGTCGAGAGGTGAGAGATGGCCTCAAGCCTTTGATGGTGGGGCTTTGAGGTCCCACTGGAGATTGGATGCATGGGGATGGGAAGTGTCCAGGCCATTTTTTCAATCAGCTGCTGCTGAATCCTGATCTGAGCTTGGTGGGGTGGCAGGACTGACTCCAGGAAAGGAAGAGGCTGAGTGATGGGCATGGTGGTCTCACGGCCAGGGAGTGAAGAGGGGGCTCAGGTCTGGTTTGTTTCTGGCTCTGTGAACAGCCAACCTTCACCCAGGGTGTGCCTCAGGGTGGGCTGACACTTTACCATGGTGAAGGGCTCAGCAATCCTGGGAGTAAGTGTCTGCCACTGCTGTCACCTGTCCTCAGACAGGGAGCCTGGTTTCCTTGTATCTAATGATTGTGGTTGTTGTATCTGCTGCCTGGCTGTGTACAGAGTGCACTGGCTGTCCCCTGGGCAGGGATGGTGGGTTATTGTTCTTAAAGGCAGTTGGCAAGATTGCCAGGGCTGCTGGGGACTTTTCTCAAGGAAGTCGAGGGGAATGGCAAAATCTAGATTCTCAGCACAAAGCATGCTGCTGCTGGAAGGCCTTCAGATGCCACATGAGAGGGCGATTGATGTTTTCTTTCATCCAAGTGCCTCTTCGTTTCAGGGGACAGAGTCTGAGTGAGGCCGACACCTGTCAGATCCCCCAGGTCCCTCTGCCGGCCCCTGGCTCCATGGGCCTTGCTGCTCAGGACTCGTTCTAGCGTATGTCTCAGTCTCTCTTCCCGGGACAGCCTTCATTTCTCCTATCAGAGTGTGAGCCTGTGGGCTTCTGCTCCACTCAGCTCCAGACTTTAAAGCCAGAGCCTGGAGAGATAACCCTGTGAGTCTAGGACCACCGGACACACACGGGACTCATGGGGGGACATGAAGGGGCAGGCCTGGTGACACTGTCTGGCAGGGGTCGATTCTACACCTTTCCCAGGAAACAGCCCATATGCACCGGGCAGAGAGACTGACTGGGAAAGAGGTCAAGTTCAAGGGCCTGCCTCTTCTCCAGGCAGATATCGTGGGCCCTTTCCACTAAGAGTCTCCCACCCTCACCCATTCTGTCTCCTGATTT